ATAAATCCTGACGACATTATTGGATCCATGCCAAAATAATTTATTGATGAATCGAATTATCAACAAAACTTTGGATTGGTGCCAAAAAATGACCTTGTTCAAAAAAATATATTAAATGTATCGATGAATCGTACTGATATAGATCAATTCATTATCACAGTATTTGATCGATCGAACAAAACTTAAATCAATCACAGAATATCTTTATACAAAAAATATGGTCATTTGGCTTCCTGCCAATTACCCAAAACTAACCGCCTCCACTTTCTAAAAATGAAATACAGTTATCTGGCACCATGCCAATTATTCTAAATTCCTTTTTTATTTATTGTCGGCTTTAATCCGAATTTCATTTCAATGCTTGCATTTGGCTTTTCACCGACAATAATTACATTTCAATTCTCTTATCTTAAGATGATCCATTGGTTGATATCGATCATTTGCCAAATATTCATTTCTAATTCAACTGATTCACATTTGGCTTCAATTCGAAATATAGTTGAAACAAGAAAATTATCTGGAATTCATCTACCAATTATTAGGAATATCCCATATACATGAACAATATTTTTTTACCTCTGACTTGTTGTTTTTTCTAACATGTGCTTCCACTTTTTACATTTTTGTTTTTCGTAATGCAGAGCCCTGATGAGTATTTTTATTTCAATAAATAATACGAAACGCGTCGGTGAACAAATTCTGCATTTTTCCATATATTTACAAAGCACATTACTTCAAGATCTTCATTCATTCATTCAGACAAACGAATAACATCGATTGCTGAAAAGCAAGAGTTGGACATAAGCAGATTACACTTGTCTTTTCGTCAAGAGATAGGTTTGATCTGTTCTCAGCTGGCCCACCCTCACCCACACCCACACCCTCACCCACACCCACACCCTCACCCACACCCACACCCTCACCCACACACCCTCACCCACACCCTCACGATATCATCACACAGCGATCACTTTGAGTAATGGTAAAATCTTGGTGATTGGTGGGAAAAACAATGCTGCTCTCAGTTCATGTGAATTGTATGATCCTTTAACAGGACTCTGGAGTTTTGCGCCCTCTCTCGCTGATCCAAGATTCCAGCATACAGCGTCAGTTTTGAGAGACGGCAAAGTGCTCGTTGCAGGTGGAATGGGTAATAGCGCCGTTCTTAGCTCGGTAGAACTTTACGATCCACTGAAAGTGATTTGGACATCATCCACATCCATGAGTATTGGACGATATGAACACACAGCTTCAGTAGTGAAAACCGGAATGGTACTAGTTACCGGCGGTTTGGACAGCTACGAACATTTAATCAATGCCGAGTTGTACGATCCGATAGCCAATGTATGGATGCCGACCGGTAATATGAGTCATCTCCGCTATGGCCATGCAGCTTCTGTGATAGGAGACGGACAAGTATTAATTACGGGAGGATACGATCTTGCAGTGTTGCGAAGTGCTGAGTTATATAACGCACTTTGACAACGAAGATGAATGACTAGTCTTATTGTAACTCGTGTGTATAACGTGAATTAAGAATATGTGTTATTTTAATCATGATAATATAAGATTCCTTTTCGCTTCATTGCTTCGTGTAAAGTAAGGTTGAGCGTTGGTAAGATGTGGATGCAGATACGGATGACCATGCAAGCAGTTTACATGGATCTAGTAACGAGTTTTTTTTCTATTTTCAAAGTATAGACAGAATTCAGGAAATCCGACGGTGGAATACCACAAGAGGGTGATGGGTGAGGGTGCCGTAAAGATAGAGATAAAAAGAATCAAATATTAGAAATGTTCTCATCTGTCCACGACACTAAAGATCCAAATATACTCTAAGCATCCACAATACTATGCTCGGATAAGTGCGAAAAACTGAACCGTAAATATCATGGAATCAGAGCAGGATTCGAACCTTCATCATCCGATAACTGCTCTGGCGATATTGATTGAATGTCACTACTGATTTTATGTTTATCTAATGAACAAGGACAGAGATTAAAGTCGTATTTTCGAGTAGGTTACGTTTGCATCTTGAGTGACAACTACCTTGGAGGTTTTTGGTACTTTATA